GAGGCATTATACTCGGCATCGTGCTTGTGCGTTGTAAGATAGGGCCGATGCAGAATACACAAGCTCTTGAGGTACATGAGCTCGAGCATGAGCCGGTGCATTATGGTATAGTTGGCATCGGTGAAGGCAGTGTTGCGGATGGTGCGGATTCGTAGACACGCCGGCACAGATTCATGCCACTCTCGCAGCTCCCGGTCGAGAGCAATCGTCTCGGAGTAAAGGGCCGGAGCTACAGCAAGGACATGGCGCACAACGCGACGCATGACGTAGCAGAGCTTGGACTTTGTGATGGCGGCGAGGATGGGGTGAGGATCTGTGGGAGGACGAGGCTTAGGCAAGGAGACGCAATCTTCGTCGAAATCGTCGTCAGTGAGGTTTGTAGGATAGCCGACATCGCAGGTTTCCTGTGTAATGATGGGCGGCATGCCGTTTTGAAAGGAGAATAGCAGATCTGAGGATTGGATCTGGAACCAGGATCGGCGCCGCATCTCGGCTTCGAACGGCATCATGGCTCTGCCACCGGGGATCTTGGCCGGATCACGATGGTAGCCCTGTTTCTGCGCAAGTCGCGCGACCATGCCGTATAGTGACCATAGTGAGGAGTCCGAGTCCATTTTCTGGACGTTGCGCGAGTGGGCGTGCATCAGGAGGGCCTCGACGGAGAAGCGCTTGCCTTTGAGGTACTGGCCGGCGATGAGGCACTGCGCGGCCTTGGCCATGTAGAAGCGCGAGTCTGGCGCTGACGAAGACGACGAAGACGAGGTGTCTGTTAGTTCTTTGTGGTTGGTGATCATTGTGCCGATGCTGAGGATGGAGAACATGATGCTGATCCAGAGGAAGCCGGCCGACGAGGGATCCATCCAGAAGGCGTCGTAGCGACGCTTGAACTGGTGCGTATGAACGATGCACACGGCCGTGAACTTTGCCTTGAAGTAGGTCATGATGAGCTTATCCGCGTCCTGCCGCGACGGCAAGCTCTCCATGACCTCCTTGATCGTGATGGGCGGCACGTCTCCTAGTAGAACCTCCGGCTCGGCGGCCTCCTCCGGCGACGACCCGGACTCCTGGTCAGCCACCAGAATGTCCTGGATATCGCGAATACTCTCGACCAATGCAGTCCACGACGTCGCCCCGTGGTAGCTCGTCTCCGGCTGCTCGTCCCTATCACTTCCCGAGCGCCGCCGCCTCTCGCCGTCCGCCTTCTTCTCCGCCAGCCCTCTCACCATCTGCTCCAGCTGGCTGAGCTTCATCTGAACATCCCGCCTGCTGCTGCTCTTATCATACACCGCCGCCGACGACGACGATGCGGTTGAGCCGTACGAGCAGGCTTCGCTGCCGCCGCGCTTCTCGCAGGCGCCGCAGGGATGTTGGCGGTCGCATCGGGACTTGCGGCGCTGGCAGGCGGTGCAGGAGACGGTTTGGCGGCAGCGCTTGACGCGGTGGGCGTCTGAGGCGCGGAAGACGGAGGTGAATTGCGAGATGCTGGGGTCGGGCATCAAGGGCTGTGAGGGTTTGAAATTTGCTGAACTGAGTGAGTTGTATGAGATGCTGATTGCATGAGGCTGATGATTATGCCTCGGTTATGGTGTTGGTGATAGCCTCAAAAGATGCTAAAATGTTGTACACGGCGTTTCTCAATTGAGGATTATCGAGAACAAAAAGGAAGAGCGATTTAGCTCGTTTAAAGACGAAAATCTTTCATCGTTAAGACTTGGCGACTCGGCCATCAGTGAGATGGAGGATATAATAAGTCTGAGTAAGTCCTAAATCCGAAACTTTGGAACGATGGGCTTTGGCCGGCCTTTCGCTCTTTAACTCCCTATAAATGTGGCGACATTCCACTGGCAACTGATATTGCATCTATAAGAAAGAAAGAAAATTCTAAGAAAAAAAAGATAAAGTCTTGAATATTGTTTTCTATTCAATAGATGAGAGTGCTCTATTCTATCTGTTCATCGCCGCCAATGCCAGAGATGTGCTATATAGCTCCTCCCTCCCTACTCCATGGTATCATATCATTTCGCCGTTATATAGTAAAAGAAGAAAAGAATCCCAAGTAGCGCCGAGATAATATGCCAAAAGTGTACAAATCCACGCCGCATTATTCATACAGATCCTCGCCCGCTATCTTTTGTCTATTCACGTCGATGATGCCTTCCATCATCTCCAGTGCCCGTCCCTGGTTCTTCAGCTTCCCAAACGCCTTGAAAGTAAATAGATCAGGTTTGAAGCCTGCCGCCTCCATATCCTGCAAAGTAGACACTGTCTTGTTGATGTTTTGCATTGCTGCATACCCCTTCGTAAGAGTGTTCCACGTAACAAGGTTTGGCTCAACGCCTTGCTCCTTCATAACATGAATCACTTGCTCTGCCAGAATCCGATCGCCGCTGTTGAAGAGACCGCGCACAAGGATACTGAATGTACACAGGCCGGGGGGTGGATGGACTGGAGCTGCGGCGCTTCTCTCCGTACCCTCTGCCGCATTTCTTTGCAAATGATCTTTCAGCATGTCTCCGAAAACCTGTAACGCAGGCCGTGATAGCCCTCGTCTTTCCGTCATAGCCATGATGATGGTATCGTGAATAAGGCTGCCCTGGTCTTCGATCAGCTGAGTGGCGAGGCCATCCTTCCCACCCTGCTCTTCAAGACGAGCCTTGAAGAAGGCATAAAAAGCCATAAGATCATATGGGTTCTGCAGTGTCTTGACGTAGGCTCTCAGCATGATGGCTATCGTCGTTGTATTAGGCTGCAGCTTCGGCTGGTTGCTTGGTGCGGAAAAAGACTTCTCGGTAAGAGGAACAATGGTTTCCAGAAAGTCCCACGTGCGCAGGTCGTTGCTGTCAAACTTCTCCCCGTCGTTGCCCGTTGTCTGTGTTAGCATCAGGGGTAAGGAGTCGGGCAGCCACCACTGCAGTGGTTCCAACTCAAACTTTTTTGCATATGCTCGTAGCATAGGACCAAATAGGGGATAGACCCAAGGTACAGCGAATCGCTTCACGCGGGATTCCATCTCTGCAAAATAAAACACGGCATGGAGGGCATTGTTAAGCACATCCACGTAGGGCGCGTTAGCCGCTTTCGCAACATCGAGACTCTTCGCCACGTTTTCCACTCTGAGGCTCCCCTTGGCACCCCTGAAAATGGTGGACCAAGCCTTGGTATCTAGTTGGACGCCAGACTCGGAAAATAACAATGCCAGCCGTATTCCCTCTTCAACTTCTCCCTGTTGGCATAAAGAGTCGAGAAAGGCAGTTGCATTGATGACATTGGGTACGAAACCCCTGTCCATAAAATATTCCAGAGTATCCTTGGCCGAGAAGGACGAGTTGCTCTCTGACGAACTACCATGGGCTATTCGGCAATGTAGCAGCGTAGTAATCGCGCTCGAGGGACTGGGCGCATTGAGATCTATCCCGCTGTCGGCGAGCCCCTTGAGAATCGCAAACGCCGTCTCTTTATGTGCCATGTCACTGGCCAATTTGCCTGCAAACTGTAGCAGCGTGTTTGGGTGCAGCTTAATGTTGGCCCTCTGCAGCATGCTATACAGTTCGTTTGCTTGTTCACTTGGTAGTTTGCGTGCAAAGAGACCGGCTGTCCGCTGCCCCAAAGGCACATGTCTCGTAGGCGCATCCTCCAAAATTTTCGCCACCAGTTCCAGCACTTCTTCCGCTCTAAGGGTCCGCTCACGCGCGTTTTTGATGCTGCTTAGGCGCAGACGCTGTGCAACAAAGAGGAGCACGTCGTTAATGGCATACCCCGGTGGCAAGGGATCCAACGTGGCTTCCAACACCATGTGTGCCTTGTCGGGGCATCGATCCAGCGTCGAAAGCATGACCAAAGGCCACTGTTTGCGGCGGTCTTCAATCTCAAGAGCTTTCCAAGCCTGATGCATGTTGCGAACACCATTGAGCTCAAAGAGCCACTTTGCATTATCGCGCCATGGCCATGGCAACTTTGGGTCTTCCGGCTTATCTGGTCTGGAAACTTTGAAAAATTTGGTCTTCCAAGATCTAAATTCTTTTCGGGCAGATTGCCGTTCAGATTCAGGATGTTGATGTCGAACGTAGCCCCATTGCGAATGCATCTCTCGCAAGTTCTTTAATTCTCGAGAAGCTTCTCGTGACGGCTCATCTGGTTTCGAAGCTGCCTTATCCACAGCTGAGAATCGGTTGGTAGGTTGCGCTTTGTGCGCAGGGGAGCGGTACAGCCTGTTGTATGTGATCGTATAACGCCTCTTTCTAATAAAGGAAGGTTGTTTCGGAGAATGTGACTTTGTTTTCAACTTTCTTCTGGAATGATTATGATTATTCGAGGGCAGTTGCTGTTCGTGTCGGCCGTTTCTATCTGATCTGGCGGCATGGTGTCTCAAGCGAGGCTCGTCTAGGTTGTCATGGCTGTTTCCTCCATCGGCGGCCACCGTGGGGTCGATGGATTCTTGCGGACTCAGAGACGAGGTGAGATATTGCGTCTTTCGAGGTGAAATGCTATTTTCAAAAGATGGAACATATTTCTGCGGTGCATTCTGCGCTATAGAGCTGAGCGGCCGTAACAGAGGTCGGACGGCGAAGTGAATCCTCGGCCGAAGAAGACCGGCCGCATATACCGTCGAGCACCTGCATTTTAGGCGGCCGGCGCGGGCCATGAGAGCCGCTGGCATTGCAATGGAACAGTGGCCGACACACGGCCAGCAATCTGCATGGTGCACTGCTGCGAGTCTCGATTTTGCTGGTTGACGGTCTCAGCAGTGGTTGGTTGAAGTCGAGGTTGAAATTGAGGTTGTCGCAAAGAATTATTTTAGCAGCGGTTGATGGAAAATGTCCTCGGCCGCTAAAACTCTCGGAGAACAAGCGGCCCTGGCAGGCTTACCGGAGTAGAGCAGGTACCTCCACTGTGTTAACTGTGCCCCACCAAGCTTGAATTCGCTTTTCCATCCGCATCGCGAAGTCTCTGAATTGAAATCGAAATCGACACACTGCGCGTTACCACCAGAGCGCTGCGAGATGAATTCCCACAACAGCCTCAGCGCCGCTTCAGACGAGCGAAAAGCGCGTCTAGCGAAGCTCAAAAACCTCAAACGAAAACAGCCCATTGACGAAGTCGCCACTCCAGAAGGCGACAGAGAGGCATCACCACCCGAAGCGCCTGATGTTGCGAAGCTTCACCTTTCCGGCCGCAACTATGACCCCGAGACAAGGGGCCCTAAGCTAGGATTCGACGCGCCGCCGACGCTCGCACAAGAGAAGCCTACGTTAGAGGAGCAGGCTGCAGAGGTGGAAGCCGAGATCAGGGAGCAAGCTGCCGAGGAGGCGCGAGACGACAAGGGCCTGGATCTGTTCAAGCTGCAACCGAAGAAGCCGAATTGGGATTTGAAACGGAATCTGGGCAAAAAATTGGAGGTGTTGAATGTGCGGACGGATAACGCAATCGCCAATTTGGTTCGAGAACGAGTCTTGGGCGCTCAAAAGGCGGCCCAGAAGACGGCAGACGCAGGCAACGGCGACCTAGATGGAGACGCTGCTGGCGTTGACGGCATCGCTCTTGTGGAGGGTCTCAGGGTTCGCGAACAAGAAGAGCAGGAAGAAGAACAGAGAGAGCGCGAGGAAGAGGAAGCATTGGGTTTGTGAAGGAGGTTGGAATTTGGAGGTACTGTATGTAATTACTTTTATGTTTGCTATACTATCGCATGGGCCGGAGTTTTTGTTTTTTGGACATTACGGCTAATATTTACATTCGGCCAAATTAAGATACCCAATCATCTTCCACCCATATTCATAGACTGAGTCAGTGCTAATCGTTTGCTAAAGGGGCTGAGACTTCGCTCTCGGGGGGCCTCTCTGGGCGGTGCTCTTCCTTGCCCTCCCCCACGCCCGCCGCGGCGGCCACCACGCTGGGGGCCGTCTTCATCTCGCCTTCGATATGGCCGATCATCTTGCTGTGGTGATCTCGATCGTGAATCTGACCAGCTTCGCCGCCTGCCGTGGCGTCGCCCGGGCTCCTGGTCACGCTGGCGCTGCCGAGGGGGTGAAGCATCGTCTTCCCGGCCATGAGAGGGCTGTCCCCGGCGACCTCTATCTCCTCGCGGGAGATCCTCACGCGAAGGAGATGGGCTACCGCGTGATACTGAACGCCGCTCTCGTCGCGGAGGTGACGGGCTTCGGCTGTAGCTGCGGTCACTTGCCAACTCATGGCTGTGTCCCCGTCGGTCAGGAGTAGGAGACCCAGTTCTTCGCCTAGGCGGTGGAGAGCGAGAGTCTCTTGAGGCATCTGTAGAGATGGTTGATACTGAATGTGAAGATACTGATCTTCGGCGCCTGGAGCCTGCATCTAGCAGCTCATCCTCGCGCTCTTCCAGCTCTCGCTTCCTTTCCCGCTCAGCCTCTATCTTGGCAAGCTCTTCATCTGCAACGCCTTTCCTGCGATAGTGTTAGCTGTTTGGTCCGTCCTAGTGGTTTTGTATGCTGCTCACTTTTTCTCCAAGGGGTTTGGAGTATCGCTTGTCAGCTTAGGGACGAGTTTAGGATTGCGAAGCTGCTGTGAGCGCGAGGGCCGAGATACATAAGGCCGTTCTTGCGTGGACGACTTGCACTCATATGAATAATGCCGTGCTAAGCATGTTAGTTCACATAGCCTCATCAAATAACAAATTGATGGTACACATCTCGTTTTAAGCATTTTTGGCACTGGACATTGGCCGGTGTCGACCGGCTGGGCCCTCCACGGCCCTTGGCTCCGAACATGGTTGATGAAATATAGCAAAGTGAAAGTCGCGAAGGATTGTGACAAGGTGGATAGCCGTGTTTGGTGACGCGAAGAATGGCGTTTCAAGTTGAATGAGAAGTGCTCAAACACAGCCTCAGCATGTCTGAGTTTGGATACTGTCTTAGAGAGAGATACGGATCGGGGGTCTAGTGTAGTACAGAGTCTTCAGTGGGCTGTTGGTCTGTTCAGCGCGCACGCGAGCCTACAGCCAAGGTACCTAGACTCCAAGGGAGAACAGCCTCAGACCGCAACACCTCACGTGACCAGCTGGGCGCCAATGTTGTATCCTGCGAATATGTAACTGCAATTTACAAGAGTCATATATGTATATTTGCCATGGAGATTTGCTTGATTCGACATTAATTCTTGATATTTGTCCGCAGTTAGAGATAGAGACAGAGAGAAAAAGGTATTCCTCGACGAACCAAATCGAAAGTGCCGTGGCAGTGTACTGATGTACTCTGTAAAAAAAAAGTTAAGAGCAGCGTCTGCCTTACGTAATCACCACGCACTTTGTATCTCTGGCGCTGTACCGGCGCTAAGACAATCTGAGCTCCCTCTCTCGAGATTTGTAACTGCAGATTCTCCTCGCCCTCACCGCGATGACATCGGCCTGAACTGCGACTTGGGCGCTCCGATCTGTTTGTTTCCCCGTCAAGGTTGTCCCATAGGCGCTGGGGGAGCCACCCGAAATCCATCGCTGTAAGTCAAAGTCCACGTTCCGCTGCAAACCCGCAATGTCCACCCCTCTCAGGGATAACCTCGTTTTGGGACACCCCTCCACAAGAAAGTCCTGTCATCGCCCTGGCCTGCACCGCCAGTGGCCCATTTCCGTCTCGCGCGCAGCAGGCTGATTGACTGACTTCTGCTCCAGGCTGCGAGGTGAATCCAACCTGCCAGTACGCCTCCCCGGCCCCTCGAACCGACGCTGAGAAAATCTTGTTTCGTTCTCGTCTCGCCTCGCCTCGCCGTTCGCCAAGACATTGACCAACTTACGACAATGTACTTCCTACTACAACAATGAGCACCTGCACTCTGTTCTTGATCTTCTGGCTCGTTCCCATTGATTCTGCTTCTTGATCTTGTCTTGTCTACGGTCTTTCCCGCCCACTTTCGATCGATTTCGGCATCAGTCGTCGGGCGCCTTTTGGATTGCGACGCCAACCGTCGAAAAAAACGAAAAGAAAAAAACGTTCCTTCTCTGCCTTGTATTCCGCCTTGATATACACCAGCCATTGACCTCGAGTAAGCGATCTCAAGGCTGTGAGTATCTACTATTATGGCGACAATCTCCTCTGGTTTACCTAAACGCTCCTTTGCAAATGTAAGTGTTCTGCGCTGTCCCCTTCTCAGACGCCGTTGTCATTGGGAGGCCCTGATGACTGACCAATAACCTTCATACACGCAGATAGCTGCGTCTGTAGCGACAGAAAACCCCTCAGCTCCATCCACAAGTCGATCGACGATGCAGCCAAAGGATCACTCAGCTGCCGATAAAGTATCGCCTACTGGCGAGTCCACAGAGTCTCCGCCCCCAGCCATCTCATCGCCCCAGTCGGTGAACCCAATACCAACGGGTATTCCTGGAGCCATGGAGAAAGTTGTGGAGTCTTTAGATGACCTCAGACTTGGATCAAATGTTCCAAGTCTGGTGGTTGATGGTAGCAACTCATCTGCCGCCGCCCGATCGCAGGCTGTCTTCAGCCGGGCTAGCGGCTCGGACGACTCTCAAAAGGCTGATTCCAGCTCGGAACTGGGTACCAAGCCACCCAGTCTAGATGGGAAGAGCATAACTTCTGGCACTACTTTTGCCCTTGACGAAAAGGAGTCTCTCCGTCCAGATGACAGCGCCAGTGTCAAGGCTGCTGCCGAGGATGACGATTCTTTCTCGATCCGGGGATCTCTGATTGCTGGCTCTCGCATGAGTTCAGATTTTGCCGCTAGAACGAGAGGCATTCAGCTTGGAGATATGCCAGATCGGCGAATGGCGCAACCAGTGGCTGGAGCTCATGGACATGGTATCCTTACACCTCAGAGCACATCGTCTGAGCAGCCAGCACAGAACCCATTGAGAAGTGCAAGTGGCTCATCAGATGCTTTAAATGTTATTTACAGACAAGCCCCCGATGATAAACTACTAGAAGCTTTGGCGGCTCCGAGAGACCGACTTTTCCTTCTAAGATTGGAGAAAGATGTTATCGACTTTGTCCAAGATTCCAAGCAAGTCAGCCCTTTTCTAATTTTGACAACTTCAGCTAACGTACAGCGTAGGGAGCCATACATGGACCTTCCTCCATCGAACTCGTTTTGTAGAATGTTGACCCATAAACTGGCTGACTACTACCACATGACGCATTCTTATGAGCCCCATATTGGCTCTGTTCGTATCTTCAGGACACCCTTCTGTCGAGTCCCGCCCTCCCTAGCAACAATGATACCTCAAACAACTATTTCGACTAGTAGCACCCCTCCGCCGGCAGTTTTACCAAGGAAGATTATGCGCCGCGGACAAGATGAAGAGGGAGGTGGCGCCAGTGCTGGGGCCTCCAAGACTACTTCTGAGAATGGAAGTGATTCCAAGGACAAACTGCCGCTGGCCAGTCAAAAGTATGTTACGAGCTTCAGAAACAAAGAGAGAAGAAGAAATATGGCAGATCATTAACCCTTGTAATAGATTGTCCCGAGAAGAACGAGAAGAGATGTACAAGCTGGCTAGACAGCGGATTTTTGGAAGCTCGGAAGATACAACATCTGGTAAGTGGCTTACACGCTCGATTGCACCGAGATTTGGCTGCTAATTCTCCCCACCAGAGATTGACGGCGAATACGGCATATCCCGGACAAGCTCAGTTTCTGCCAACAACAGATCAACTACCAGTAAAAAGGGAAAGCCACCTAAACAGCGGCGTGATGATACCGATGGCTTTGACTCTAGACGCCAGTACACGCCTTATTGGGGACCACAACAGCAAACATGGGTGTCACAGCCACCTAGTCAGTTCGTTCCCCCCGCGAACGGGCAGTTTACTCCGCAACCTGTTCCATCGTACCCTGCTCAGGTGCCCATGTATGGCCAGCAACCTGGATATCCGGCCGTGCAAGGAATGGTGTCGAATGCAGGTCCGCCTTATCAAACCCCACCTCAGGTATGTAATTCATCTCAATGCCTACTGATGGTTCCAAAACTGATATCTGATACTAGCAATATGCACCGCAGCCCATACAGCAACGATACCCCCCGACTGGAAGCCCAATGACAGCTTACGGCTCGCCGATTATCCCTGGAGCTCCTCCGCCGCCGAACTGGCAACCCGGTTACAGTCCCGCTCTCTATCCGCCTAGAGGCCCTACTCCCAGCGGCCCTCATTCACAGAGCGGTATTCCGTATGCATTTGGACAGCTACCTGCGAATTCCAATCCTCACGACCCCAAGAGTCAGCATCCAATTCCAGGAAGCTACAATAGGAATCACGCTTTCAACCCCAAGACTCAATCTTTTGTGCCGGGATCGAACGGCATGCCACCGCCGATGCAGCCACTCCACCCGCCCTTCACGGCCCCGGGCTCTCACCACAGCAGCCCGCAGATTGGGACTCCTCATCTGGCCTATGGTGGATATCCATCGGTCATGCCCCCTCATCCGTATGCCGGCGGATACAACATGGCCCGGCAGGGTTCGAACAATTCCATTGCCGCATACCACACTCCGCCCCCTCTAGTCGCGCCGCCCCACGTCCAGCATATGCCGCCGACCATGCAAAGCCTGCAACATATACCACCTCCCCAGCATATACCCCAGAACCAGCAGGCGCATGCTATGGGGCGAGCAAACGTCCCCCAGGGACCGAATCAAATGTTTAGTAGTAGTCATTTACCCACGTACGGTAATCCTGCCTCGTTGCCGCAGAAGCCGGCCACTGGAATTTAATGAGCATCATACGGCGTTCACCCGCAAACGAGAAAGAAAGCGTCTACTCTTTTCTTGTATGACATTGTTTTTTCACCTCTTTCCGTGTACCTAGGTACCATCTTTTTTTCTAATACTTTGTTGTATTGGAACACCGGGTAGTCTTTTTACCAGATCTCTAGCATTTCTATAGACTTTTACGGAGCAATCGAGATAATGATCCCGTGCCATCCACCTTGAACTGATGCATGTGTCTGATTGAGAATGAAAAACTTTATCCGATATAAGGGAGCGGTACTCTATGATAACAGGATAACTGATTTAGCTACAGCGACAAATGACAATTCTCTTAGTTTACACACATAGTCATATTCTATGATACATCCAACTTTTTCTCCAGATATACACAAATCTCAATCACACCTCATATTTCTCCACAAGTAGCAGTCTCATTCTTTAATAACGTCACTCCTCAGAATTCCCATCACACACTCATCCAGCACCTCTCCATCCTTCTCCAAAGCCCCCCTCCTCACACCCTCCAAAGCGAACCCGCATTTCCTCAAAACCTTCTGACTCGCCTCGTTCCTCGCATACGCAAAGGCCTCAATCCTATTCAACCTCGGCCACGTCTTAAACGCCCACGGCACAACCGCCTTTGCAAACTCCGTCGCATAGCCCTTCCCCCACGCCGACGGCGTGAACCAGTATCCGAGCTCCCACGTACGATAATACACATCACCCTTACTCTCGAGGCCCGCCCCTCCAATGAAGAGCGGCTCAGAGGAACTGTTGTGGCCAGAGTTTGGCTTGACGAAGATGGCCATGGCGTGCGGGTAACCTTCCTCGGAGAAGACGAAGTTGGTGAGGTAGCTCTCTGCGTCGGCGAGGGTGTAGGGCATGGGGAAGCGGTCTCGCAGGTTGGGCGTGATGGAGGGGAAGTTGGCTGCTAAGGCGAGCGCGGGGGCGTCTGAGGGGTGCCAGCGGCGGATGATGAGGTTTGCGGTCTCGAGGAGGATTGTGCCGGGCTCGTTGCTGGGGGGAGAGGGAGAGGTGAGGACTCTGTTGGGGGCCATTTTGCCTGCTGGTTTTTCCTTTGGCGGGATCACATTGATGTGTAGGGGATTGAGTTTTGAAGAGAGTGTGAAGGGGAATGAAGGGGGCTATATATAGGCAGATTGGGACGTGGTCGTGGTTTGAGGTTGGATGATTCTTCATTAGGGGGGGGGGGGGGGGTTGAGCCGATGAGTCAAAGGATCCTTTGCGCGCTAAGTAACTCACCATCAAGCAACAGAGTTCACATGATGATAAGCACCCTTGGAGTCATGCCGAATGAAAAAAATATTTATAGCTGCGCTGCATTTCAATTATTTTATTTCTTTTAATATAAGTCACGGCTGTTTTTTTCTAAGCCGCGCTGTCTCATATATGGCAACATCATGACGCATCTCAACCCGAAATCGGTGGTCCTCCTTGATTAAGCTCCGTTGCGGTAAACCTGCGCTCCTTGGTTTCTAAACATGATTGTATCCCTCCGTTGCAGTAGCATTAGTGACCGATTCAAGGCCTGTTCACTGTAACCCTTCCCTTCCACCATTTCTCTTCGCAGTGTGGCTAGGCTGGTGCTCCAACCGATGGGTAGTCGTCGCTTCAGCTCAGCCTCAAGGCGGCTCACTTCATCATTCATTTCACGGCTGCCCTGGTTGCTGCCTTGGTTGACTGCATCCATGGTAGAGCAAAGGAAGAGGCGAATGGCCTCGTCAACATGTGCTTCAGTTGCAATGGGCGAGAGGGTGAGTTTGGCGAGCGATTCTGTGATTCGGACAATGGCCTCGAGTTGACGGACGGTGATGGGGATGGAGGATCGTGTGTTGGCTTCAATCTCGGCGGCGTGGACTTGTCGTCGGATGGAGACGAAGTGAGAAGACAGCTTCTCGGCGGCCTCAGGGCTCAGTCGAGGAGCGCATCGTCTAAAATAAACATGTTAGCAACATAAGCAACGAGGAGAAAAGGAAGGAAACATACGTTTTGCAGTAGGTAATGTATCGTCGCATCTTCTGCACGGGAATCTCAGACTCGGCTACATCCTCGGCACCGCGGCCATCCATATGAATACCCATGACGTGCTTAGCCATCCTCTCATCCTTTTCTCGGCTGTGATCATCCTTGACAATGAAGATCATGTCAAAACGAGACAGAATGGTTGTTTGGAAGTCGATATTCTCTCCGGGCGTCTTCATGTCGTCGTAACGTCCGAAAATGGGGTTAGCAGCCGCAAGAACCGACGTCCTGGCGTTGAGAATTGTGGTGATACCGGCCTTGGCAATCGATATCGTTTGCTGTTCCATGGCTTCGTGAATGGCTACTCTGTCCTCATCTCGCATCTTGTCGAACTCGTCAATGCACACAACACCACCATCAGCGAGCACCATGGCACCACCTTCCAGATAGAATTCTCTTGTTGACTGATCACGTTGAACAGAGGCCGTCAGACCAGCCGCTGATGAACCCTTTCCGGAGGTATAGATGGAAATTGGAGCTGCCTTTTCAACAAACTTTAGGAGTTGCGACTTTGCAGTACCGGGGTCACCAAGAAGCAGCACATTGATGTCACCTCTTAGTCTCATGCCGTCGGGTAAAATCTTCTTTGATCCACCGAGAAGCAGACAGAGGATGGCCTTTTTGATGTCTCGGTTGCCATAGATGGACGGGGCAATACAATCCGCCATGATGTTGTACAGGTCTGGCCGTCTGCTCAACTCTAAGAACTCTTGTTCCTCTTCTTCTGAAAATGTAGCGTTTCCTTTGGCGGCTTGGTCAATGTCCGTCTGGATTCCCACGGCTCTGAGGTATGGTGTTCGAATAGCAACTGCGCCTCCCGTTGACGAGTTTTTAGACGCCTTATTCTGATAAATGGAAAAGATACCCATCACAGTACACCGAGAGCCAGGGACCACTCGATTGGTTAGATATCTATCAGCGGTGATGAGCACATGGCGAGGCAATTCTCCCACAGGGACCTGATCGGGGGCCTCCTGAAGCTTAATAACCTGCTGATCAACGAAACGACACTTCTCGTGCAGGACAAAGTAAGGATCTAGGGGACAAGTCGGCGTAGGATCCTTGGGAAGACGCTTCCGCCCGCATTGTCTAGGCAGTGTGACTCCTGTGAAGCCGCCGAGGATAGGAAGCGCTTGGGAATGGCTGCAGTTTCTGCACTGAATGTTTAACTCGGTGGCTTTTGAGGACATGACGGAAGCTCCAATCACAATGCCCGGCACGCGGACCATTCGGGCAATTGTCATGGAATCGAGATTGCGAATCGACACATCGTCCGCATCGGAATGCAACAGAAGCTGGTGGTCGGGGAGGTCGACATTCTTTTCGTGGGGGAACACAATTCGATGTGTGCATTTCTTCAACGCTGCCTCGAACTAGACAATTGATTCTTCGTCAACTCTGCCCGCCTTCACGGCAGGTCAGGGGGGCACTCACAAGAGGAATAATTTCGGCAGGCTCTGACACCAGTCTGTGTGCAAGCTCTTCATTGAAGCTAATTAGATCTTTAATATCGACATCGCAGTAGAACTTTTTCAGGAGCGCATTTTCTCTTAGTTGGTCTCTGCATACAAATCCAGTCAGCCAAGGAGTCCTTTGTGTCTTTGGAGGGAAGCTGTGCCATTACCGGTAGACAAAGTTGTTGTCGAGGCGGAAATCCAGGATGAATGTTTCCAGCTGGGACTGCAGCTGCAGTCTGGTGTCGTCGACATCGCCAAAGTTGGACTCGTACACGCGAGCCGAATACACAGACTGACGATCCATGATGTGATGCTCGCTGTGACAAATCAAATCAAATTGCGTCAGTGTCGGACAGGAAGCAAAGTTCGACGATTTATTTGATGCTCAACCCAAGCTCTGCTGGGTACAAACCTGAACTGAAGGGTTGGCGGGGCAAATCTGGCTACAGGGACTCGACGCGCCTAGAAAAGAGACGCGAAACACGCGTTTAGTGGTTGCAGCAGGGTCGTGCCATAGCTGGAAATGGCCTAGCGCACTATTCGCTCCAGGGACCGTATCACGTGTGTTTCGGGAGAATGTCGGGTCAGAAGTACATGTAGCTTGGCAGCGGATTGCTGACGGCATGCGACTTGCAGCTGTTGGCAGCTTGGCGAATGGACAGTCGTCAACTCTCTCTTTGACTGGCAGCTCGACGCTTGATTTGATCCTGCTGACAATTCTCTTGCTTTCTGTTTAATCCTAATCTGGCGTCTGTCTATTCTTTTCCAATCCTATTTGCTAGCGATGATACCCCGATAGTCTCTTCTAATACTCCGTTATACACCTTGGACTTGGAGATCCGCAGTTAGTAGCATTGCTTTCGTCGCCTTGCTCAGCCACAGCCAAATCCGAGCTTCATTTCGCAATCTTCCACGAACCATTGCCGCCCGCCATGTATTCCACTCCCAGCGCCGGCAGATCTGTCGATAATCTGGCCCCATTGTCTCCTGGAGGCCGAGCAGACTATCCTTTCCACAGGTGGGCACTCTTTTCTGAGCTTCGCGGGGAGAGCTATCCGGTAGCTGACGGCAATGCAGCGGTCGAATAGGCCAAGGCCATCAGCGGCCACACTCGAGACGGAGCTCCGTAGCCAGCTCAATTCATTCGATAGGAGGAACTTTGGATACATCGCTGAGCGGCGGCTCCTCTGCTGTATACGAATCTGGACAGAATGGTTTGTTGGGCCGCATTTCGACCAAGATAGCGCTAGCTAATTGAGGCGCCATAGCCATCTCGACGTTGCTGCAACCCCCTATTGTCCGAACAGGCCTTCAGCCTCATACATCAGCGCCAGCCTCGAGTTCTCACAAGCCTCCCACCGCAAGGGACATTCCGCCCGTTACATTGACCAACATACCCAAGGTTGACCCCGAGGAGTTTGCGCCCTACCTCTCCCAGATTGGTGCTCTATACGAGCAACTTCGCCGCGTCAAGGAAAACGAGGAGGAGGAGAATGCCAATCGACGAGGCAGCAGACAAGACGAGCAGGCCGAAAGTACCGGTGATGGGCTCTTGCGGCCGGGAGCTAGAGGTCGTCTTCCTCGGAAAGGTTCTACGGCCTCCTTGTCCTCTGTGACTTCGGTAGACACTGTTAGCTCTTTGCGTAGGCCATCGGCGCTCAGCCGTAAGGCCACACAAGGACCTCCGCCGCTGTCAACTATCCCTACAGTGTATTTTGACGACGACTTTCATCTTGAGAATCCCCGGACTTTTGATGTTGTAAGCGAACGCTCCGAGGTCATACAGAAGCATAAAGATGAGGGAAATGGAAATGCTGTGATGCCGAGGAAAACACTGGCAACGAATGCCATTCTGCAAGAAAAACTCTCCTGGTACATGGATACCATTGAAATTCACCTCATCAACTCCATCTCAACCGCATCGACCACGTTCTTCACGGCACTTGGATCACTGAAGGAGCTCCACTCTGAAGCAGCGGACTCAGTACAGCGAATCAAGGCTTTGAGAAAGGAGCTTGAAGCTTTAGACGAGAGAGTGGCCGCAAACGGCTTGATGATGGTTCAAAAACAACGGCGGCAGGAAAACCTCCGACAGCTCAGCGACGCAATTTGGCAGTTGAGATTGGTTACCGAGGGCGTGGCTAACTGTGAGTCTCTCGTTGATGCTGGTGAGGTGGAAAAGGCACTGGCCAGCATCGACTCGCTGGAATTGTTGATAGCGGGCGAACGCGAAGAGTCTGATGAGCAGGCCGATATGCCTCGATTAAGAGACTTAAGGTCTGCTTCGGTTCTACAGGGGGTCAATTCGGATCTCTCTCAACTTCGATTTCGCATCGGCAAGGCATACGAATCTCAGTTCTCATTCATGCTTTCATCCGATATTCGTCGGCATTTTGAAACTTTCACAACGTCCGACGTCCTCCTTCGATGGAGCAACGCAGCACCAAAAAGGGGCAACTACCCCAGGTCACCGTCTATCTTTCCCACATATTTGGCGGGTACAGACGAATTGAAAGCGCAACTATTGCCAGTAATGACTGGTTTGCATCGCGCAAAGCATGTTGCAGTTGCCGCGACCGCTTATCGTGAGGAGATTCTTCGCGAAATCAGAAACTTGATCCGCCGCCCGCTCCCAAGTTCCAATGATGATGACAACATGTCTATGATGTCAGTTTCTACCGCAAGCGGAGGTAAACACCTGTCGAGCCAGGAGAAGTCTGCGAATTTGGCCCGCAATCTACGGTCGTTGGATGCAGAAGATGCAGAGGCACTTTTTATAAAGATATACACTGGTGTGACAGAGACGTTGAGGCGCGTGTCGACCCAAGTCAAGGTTTTACTGGATATTGCCAGTTCACTTTCAGATCAGCCCAATGGCGATGGACTCAAATCGCCGCCGATTAGGTCTCCCTTGCCTAGCCCTCGATATGATCGGCAAATGAGCAACCCGCTGCAGCCATCCGCGTTTGCAATTCAGGAAGAGCTTCATAAAGCCATTGATTTAGGAAACCTGCTAGCGCAAGCTGTCGATCTGGCTAACGAAAAGATTGTCAAGATTCTCAAAGTTCGCTCAGAGCAAGCTATCCATCTCCCACTCGACTTATTCCTGCGATATTTCAACCTCAACTTATTCTTTACATACGAATGCGAAGCGATATCTGGAAGAAGTTGCTCTACCCTGAAGACTGTGGTTAACAACCACATCAAAGAGTTTGTACAGAAATATCGCGACGCCGAAATGCAGAAGCTTGCCCAGGGGATGGAATCAGACCAATGGGGTGCCAAGGACTTTACAGACGAGAACACTCTGCTCTTGAACCAGATCCTCGAGTGCAGCACTCATGACATAGAAGCTTGGACCGAGAACAGCAGGATATGGATTCCTTTCGAGAGTCCAAAGAAACTGAGTTCGGATATTGGCTCATCGGAAGCAAACGGTGCTAGCAAAGAAAAGGTTCGAAACGCAGTCATTGAGTCGGAGAAATTCGTGCTTCCGAATTCTGCCGTGCTATGCCTTGACGGTATGGGAGATTTCCTGCAGTTGATTGCCGGAATCCCATCCATGACGTCGGATATTGCAACGTCTTTGGTAGCTTACCTACAGCTCTTCAATTCCCGATGCTTTCAACTCATCCTGGGAGCTGGTGCTACTCGGTCGGCCGGCCTGAAGAATATCACAACGAGACATTTGGCTCTTGCATCTCAGGCTTTGGCCTTCATGGCTACCTTGATTCCTCACGTGAGAGAGTATGTTCGCCGTCAGGCAGGCTCCGGTGCCAATGTCTCCAACCTCATGGGGGAGTTTGACAAAATTCGACGATTGTTTCAAGAGCACCAAGACAACATCCATCAAAAACTGATTGAAATTATGAGTGGCCGTGCTGTTAATCATGCAAAGAGCATTCGAGCCATCAACTGGGACACTGACACTTCCGAGGGGCCTCACTCGTACATAGAGATGCTTGTCAAAGAGACAACAACGTTGCACCGTGTCCTGACAAAGCATCTTCCCGAAACGTCCATCCAGCTTATCATGGTGCCTGTTTTTGCAAGTTATAAAACCCAGCTCGGAGATGCCTTGCGGCAAGCAGCCGTAACAACGAAGGCTGGTCAAAGGCGGTAAGTGATGCCATTGAAGCATATAAATGTTTTTCTTTCTAACACATCTTTCCAGCATGATGCAAGACGTAGACGTCTTTGGTGACAAGTTGCTAAGGATTGACGGGTTTGGCGATGCCGGTGAATTCCTTGCCAACATTGTCAGGTCAAAGAAGGTTGAGGAGGATTCGTCTACTGCAACTACAACCGCAACTTCAACTACAACTGCGGCTGCAACTAATGGAACGAGTGATTCTAAGACAGAGGAGAAGGTTGAATCGGAATCAAAGAAATCCTCAGAGGAGTCACCAAAGGAGTGAGAAAGTCACTTTGGTTTATATACACATCCTTTATCGGATGACTTTTGCTTTACAACAGACGCGGGATCATTAGATGGGAGTTTATGGTTGCTTTTTTGTCTTCTTTTTGGTTCATCTTGTTGGATTTGTATATTACGATTGTACAAAGCGAAGAAGCGACGCATGGCTATCCGCGTCGTGTACATATAATGATGTGGGGATAATGATTTGAATCATCGCCCTCTATACTACATTACCTATTATACGGAGTTCTGACTCGGCGATTGCACTATTGCACTTTTGACAAAACGGAAGTTCTACGGCGCTTCCAAAGACATTCTGGCTAGTCATTGATTTCAAAAGAACCGCTAGAATTTTTTTTCTTTTGTCAGGTACAGCACAGTGCAGCTTTTTATATATATTGTTGGCGAGAAGCGCGAGCAGCCGAACAACGGCGCAAAACTTTCACGCCTCTTCAATCATCTCCCACGTGCAGAATCAAAAACAATAGAGCAGTCTTCTTTTTTTGTTTTTTCGGGTTTAATTCCGTTTATCCACACATTATTTGTGGCGCTTGTCAAGTTTAAAACAGTGAGCTGAAAGGTAGACGCCATTCGGGGTCCCTTTTTTTCTTCTCTTCTATTCACGCACAAGTTTTTCCATTTTAGCCGCCTAGGGAAGAGGGAAGATTAAAGGAAGCCCTAAAGTTGACTCTTTTTGTGCGTGGCTTCACGATGTGTAGATCAGATAAAGCTGCTTGCTGTGTTAAAATTTTCTCTATGGTTATGACAAGGTGGCGAAACAGCTTGTTGCTATTACTATATAGCAACCCATAATAAGTCCGACATCTCGGCGATTCTCCACGATTTTCTTCCATTCTTTCCTTCCAAATTTTCTTCTTTCGCCTCCGGAAAAAAAGAAGGCATCGTCTCTTTTGGGCAACTTACGCCGTTGGTCTCGTTGTTAGTGCACGACTCGGTGTTGGTTTTGGTGTTGGCAGCTGGTTAAAAGCGCTGATAGTCTGGCTTTAAAGTAGCAAAAGAGAAAGAAAAAAAAAACCATCTCTTAGCGTCAGGGCCGTTCACACTAACAGAAGTGCTATTCTCTGTCATGAGCAAATTGGTCATCGTCTAACCGCCGAGGCAAAAGAGGGAAAGAAATCGCGTGCTTCTCTGCTTTGGGTGGCGTGGTTGACATGCTTTGTAAGTAATATTCTCAAATCACTCAGAATCACGGAGCAGGGCCATCAAGTCATGAATTGAATCAAATGTCCACATTGCCATCTCTATATCTACCCAGAATCTGTATATAAAGTCTAAATATATACAACAAGAAAAAAGGGGGTATTCATGAAGTGAAGAAAAAAAGTTGTAAAAAGGTTTTGGTAAAAGAGTGTGTGAAGCGCCTCAGTGGGCGGTATAAGTTGAAATGAGTGCCAGCCTCTGGCTCTCCTCTCTTACTCTAGGTAAGAAGAAGAGAGACCAAAATCTGTAAGAAGTGAATGGTTGTGCTCGCAACCAAGTTTGTCCTTTTTTTGTTTCCCGTGCAAAACCTATACCCAGTAACCCGTATCCCATATCATGATAAGTTTTTGCATTTCATCATAGCGTCATGAGTGACCTGGTGCTCAGCACCAAAGGGAGCCAAAAGGCCCCCAGAGTCAAATCAAGAAAAAAGGAAAGTCTGAATACACAGCTATTTACTGTTCCTCAGTGAAGGTGTGAGCAATGGAGCCAGAGCCAAGAGTGGTGATGAGGTCGCTCTCCATGGTGGCCTTGGTCTGAATGTCATCAGGGAGGTAGTAGGCGTTGTTGCAAGGGAAGTTGACGCAGCCAGACATGGGCTCATAGGACTCAGCAGGGAACATCAGCTTGACGTTGTCCTTGTCGTTGGGGTCAACAATGGCGGAGACGTCAAAGTAGGTCAGTCCGTGCCAGCTGCCGAAGTTGACCTCACCGAGCATGCCGGGGACGTTGGAAGCGCCCTCCTTGACGGCGTAGAAGTTGCCTTGCCAAGTATCAGGGAAGGTAACAGTGGTGTTCTTGCTGTTGTCGACGGTGACAGAGTCAATGTCAGCGTTGCCAGGGTTGCAGGTGAAGTAGATGGTGCGCTGAACGTCGTCCAGGGTCCAGAAGGTGACGGTAGCAGCGGAAGAGAGAGCCGCGGAGGCAATGAGAGTAGCAACAGAAGTAGCGAAACGCATTTTGAATGTTTGTTTGGGTTTGTTTGCTTGAGAAGCTGAAGAAAGAGTGTTGTATATAATATGACGGGCCTTGCCGTTATACTCTGCTTTCCAGAAGGAGTGAAAAGGTGTAAAGTACACAAGAAAGAGTGATAGTCCGAAGACAAGTGAAATGAACAGTGATGGTGATATCTTGACAAGAATTCCTGTGAACAAGAAAGGGAGAAAGCCGTCCTCTTTATAATTACTCAAATCACATAGCCAAGAGGGCTCGTCGACCAGCATACGCGTGGCAAAGGGTAGTCTAGTGGGGAGCAGAACAACCGGCACTGTTCTCTCCCCTCTTTGTCCCCCCCTGTGGGCGCCTATCGTGGGTCGATTCAACGAGACCGACGAGCCCAGAAGCTATTTTAGTGCCTGCATGCTTGACCTTGAAAATGCTTTCCATGTGCATAGAGGACAGCGTCTAATGCAGGCACCATTTGTTAGCAGGCGGTGGTGCTGGCGAGTGGTGTGGACGGAAGCGGTAGCATGCTGGGCACCCGGAAGCCGAAGCCGTTGAGCACCCTTGCTCTCAACGCCACAATGGATTACGGTGGGCTCGTAAAGACTGAGCTTCGGGACCCCATTGCGCGGCACACTTGGACCAGCGAGTGGGCCTGTTCAGAAGAGAAAAGAGAAGACAAGAAGACGAATTGCGTCTAGCAAGACTGGTCACCGAGACTGGCCTTGTGCTGGCGCATTTTGAAACGAATGGTGTCCATTTTCAGCCACTTCTTGACATCCCACATGACTAAAAAAGGGCCTCTGATGGACGTAATCCGAGTTGAATGGGAACTGCAGCGCTGTTGCGCGTTACAGTTGCCGCTGCGCTCTCGTTCCCCTCACCTTGTGATGCATGTCGCCCGGCCACGGACGCCTTGCGAAAAAGCATAATCGAATGTTTTTGCAAACGGCCCAGATACTCCAATAAGAGGAGGAGAAGAAACTCTCGTCGATTTGCTGGCGCTCAGCGTATCAGAGCTTGTCAGCAAACGGCAGAGAAAGATGGTGTGCAGTCCAGGGTCGCAAAATTCAAACCAGTGGCACTGTGTTGTCACTGGCTTGGAGGGACGGGTTCCTGACCCGGATTCAGCATCCAGAGCCGAGCAGAAGACTTAAAGTTCGGTGCTCGCAGGTACTTGTCGATAATGTCCATTTCGTAATGGACCATGCGCTTCATCGCCACCCACACGCAGAGGCTGATACCTCGTGTAAGAGTACCCTCCCGACCCATTTCAAAGCTTGCAATTGGCCCAGAGGGTGCCCGACGGCTTGGGGAACCGTCTTTTCTAGCTGCATAACGGCCGGGACCCGGGGCCGTGACTCCATTGGTCGGTGCCTGGCAGGAATGCATGTGGTCTGCCCTGACAGGTCGCCGGACCGGCGGGTGGATCGTGAGAATTCTCCTGTCGTGCCTGTCCGCTGCCTCCGAGCAAAAGCCTGTGTCGAGCCAGTCGCAGAAAGTTGCACGAGGCCTCTTGGCGAGAGAGACTGCAGCGTGCAGTCTGGCTGATGATGGACGACAGTTGCGTCGGTGGCAGAAATCACTGTACAGATATTTGAAGGAAGGAAAAGCAACTGTTTCGGCACTCATGCCAGTCTTTCATCCATCAGGCTCGGTTGAGATCGTGCGCACGGCCTCACACGAATGCTTGTCCCCTGCGTAAATAGCTCGCGACTAAGGCAGTGGATTGGGCACCATCGAGCAATTCTCCTCATCCCCGCCGAGGAGGGCTGAGTCTGTGGTCTTTTTTGCCTCTGCGCCTTACAGGGTTTCCTTCCTTAGGGCATCCGATGCTTCGATCCGTCCTGGGAACCCAGCCAATCCTTGTCACCAAGAATGCAGGGCGCAGGGATGTTGCAACCACCTGCAAACCTGCTTGCGCAGCTTTTCATGAGTCGCAAGGAACGACCAGAAGAGGTGGAACCTGAAAAATCCTCAAGGCTCCATCCACCCCAAGAGCAGCAGGGAGGTTCCATGGCCATAAGCAGCAGGGAGATTCCATGTGATTCCCTCCCTCCCGCTGCCTTCCGCCTCCAGAAACAATCGCGATTTCTCCTCAATGCGTGGGCCCATTGTCACGATCTCAACGCCGGTATCCAACCAAGGGTCACTCTCGGCCGCATGTAAGCCATGCTATCAATATTAGGTGGGAGGCCAACAATAGCCTGTATTATACGGATATCATTGTGCTCAATGCAACACTGCAAGCCACGTAGAGGCGCATCAATAGTAGCACATTGTTAGTTAACACGGCTCTAGGCTGCAAAGCTGATTTGACATGTTCACCTGGGTGCTTGATGATGCAACCCTTCCATAATCCAATACTGCCGGTGGGGCTTCTAGAGAGACCAAGGCACACCGTGTTGGAAACATTTGGACCCTTTTGCGATGGCAACTTTGACGAGAGGGCAGACTCGATGTGTGCGCCTAACACATGTGCCGCATACCAAGAACCGTGGCTCCAGTAACAATGAGACTTGGCAACGGCTGAATAGGTAGCCTTTCAAAAGCCGAGGCTTGCGTGGCAACCGATAAATGGTTCTTTGGAAGCCCTCCAGATGCCCATTTCGTGTCAGAAACTGGCGGTTGCATGATGACCATTACAGCGTTCACCATTCACACAGTGAGGGGTTCCTCTTGGGAGAATTCCAGAATTTTTTTCTCAAATGGACGGCGACAAGAAACAGGTTAAACTGCTTGACCTCCACCCGGGAATATCAGAATGGCCCAGTTATCCCTCACTAAGAATGGACATGATTGCCTGATACGGTAAATGTAAACTTGCCTCTGTATGTAGTGTAAGATAGCTTGGGCCCAGTTCTGATATTTTTGCCAAAGCCAACCCAAAGCTGGGTTAACTGGCAGAGGCAAGAGGGCAACTTGGCCAACCCCAAGAGGAAATCCGAAAGACACGCACAAAAATTTCCTTCATTGTTCACGCCGTGGAAGATCCAACAGTCTAGGCTATTCGGATAGCCCGCACAGTGGCGAGTTCGAGCCGTAAAGCAAAGCCCGAGTTTTTGCCATACTTGAGCTATCGAAACCGGCCTTCGGCCCTCGGTGGGAATAGCCGTTTATCAGGCGGAAATGTGTCTGCGTGTCTTTGGGCTTGGCCGAGAGGAGAGAGCAGCTAGTGCAATTGGGCCGTGAAACAATAGTGTTGTTGACTAACGAGGTGCTTCAGAAACTTGGTGAGAGCGCACCACCTGGATGCCAAAGTTGGGGCCGCATGAGCCATTAAGGCGTCAGGCAAGAGTTGGAATGAGAACGGAGCACAGCGCCAACACATACAAAACCGGTGAGTGAGTACATCGCACAAGCACAGATATCTGTGAAACTTGGAGAAGCATCAACGAATGCGAATCAAAGAAGAGGACGATGTGCCAGATAAAGGCATGGCATGGGTGTGACGAGGGTCATCAAGGTGCACATTATGCAAAGGCGATGGACAAAAGTCCTGTCTTAAGGGCAATTCTCAGCCTGAGGAGTTCCAGCGATTTCTTCGTCATCAAGACAATCTACCTATGGGAAGCAATTTAGTTAGATTTGGTTGATAAGCGGAAAGGGAGTAAAAGTAAATTGAACCTCCTCGAGTACTGCGCTTCGGCCATGAAGGGCATCGTACCGCTATCGTCACTCACTGCTCCCTCGTTCACAGGGCGTAGGAACGTAGGACAAGTTGCTTAATTTTTCCGAAAGGATGCATTTGCATATGACGGTTACAGACGTGGCGCAAGAAGTAAAACTCATGGCGGAAAGCTTTGAGGCAGATTCTCTGCACTTGGTAGTGAGGGGGATTTTGTTGGCCATTCCGTCAAGGGAAGAGGAAGCACGAAGCACGTGTTGAGAGTGTACTTACAGTGTTAACTCAGGTATCATCCGGATAGCACTGTATCACAATACGGCGATAAGCAGCGTTATACAGTGTAAGTCATTCAAGGCAGGTACGATGAGGCCTCGTATTCCTCACGATGCAACTCCAAACTCTCTCGACTTTTAGATTCTTGCACATCAATTTTGTACGTAAAATCCAGATACGGAGGTAAATATTCATACAGATATCATCTAACCTCTTTTTCGTCTGTTTGAGGCTGCATCCAATATACTAACATGCATCCAGACGCGACACATCACGACTCCAAGCTGCATGCCATTCATTCACATGCAAACACACAGCCAGACGTGAAAGCCACCATTCTTCCAACCGCCATCATTTCTGTCGCCAGCCATCATGCAGCTTCTATCGGACCTATTTTTAGCTTAGAGCTCTGAGAGTTTCTTGCCGTTTTTTGGTGGCAAACTCTCTCTGCGTTGCTTTCGGCTGCCAGCTCAGTGGTTGGTTCCGTTGCCGTCTACCCGCATTCCAGTCGGAACTCAATCTGCCAGCCGGAATCATGTAGGCGACATCAGATCGGTGCAAGGCTCCTTAACGCCTAAAAGTCGGCGGATAAGCGTATTACCATTGTCGAACTGCATTCAATCGGACTCTCAGCTGTGATGATTAACGGGGACCGCATGGGAGCACCATGTTTGGTTATCTTTCATTCGATTGCACTCATAGATGATCCCGGATCCAGCCTTCATTCTGCCGTACAATGGAGTATCGGCCCATCGATTTGAAGATGGCGGCTTGCTTTCGGAATTTACCCGAGACGGTTGAACGATTAAGGCCATGTAACGATGTGGTTGGGGCAAGCCTCTGGCATCTTCGGAACTCCCTCTTCTCAATAACTGCTGCTATGGAAGGCATCATGAACTAAATCATGAATTTCATCTGAACACATATTCTACCCAAGATGCTGGCGTGTTAGGCTACTCCAGATAGTTTCTTCTGATGCTTACTTTCAGAGGACCAGTTGACACAATGTCAGAGGGATCATAACTACCGGGCAATCCTCCTTGATAGGAACGTTCATCTTGGAGCAGCAGTTATGGACTTGGCCAATGTGCTAACCCAAGCTTAAACTACATGGTAACGAGATACTCGTATTACATTTTAACCAGCTAGTTGCAGAGCTTAGATGAAACTCTAACTTTGTTTACTAGTTTTTCTCCCCTCTTGAGAGCCAGCCAGAAGCCACCAGCGGCTCGGAAACTCACAGCCTAACCAGATTCTGAACGTTTTCGTGACATCAGACCGTTAGCGGTCCAATTATTTTCATCTGTAACTCCATCCCGGTGCTGTTCGGAAATGAGGCGCTGATCCTCGAGTGCTTCGACACCAGTCAAACGAGTATTTCCCCCCAGGCACATGGATAATACCCACTTGACGTTTTCGTAACACATTTGACATCTAAACCCAATTAGAGCATTCTTTACTTCTCATGTTAGTTATTTCATCTTCATCAATACACTTCTTTATCGCACTAACACTACTGTACCTAGTATGTTTATGAGAAGGCATCATGCAGCCACAGACTAAGCTCCCAAGCCTCCCTCGATCCGGCGATGCTTCTCTTAAGCGACATACGACTTCATGAAGCCTCTCCTCATGCGGCAAGGTGCAGCAATTAAATGCTCGGTCTGAATGCAGCCATCATTATGCGATTGACCCGCTGTTTCTCAACTACAAAGAGGCGCCTTGATCCCGCCATCGACTGGAATTCTTTCTTGCATCACAGCAACGTTCTTTCACTACAGTCTTCAGACGTACACTCGCTTACTGTTCAGAAGTCTCATCTTCTTTGTCTTTTGTTGAGAGTATCAACTCTTTTCCGCAATCATGCGTTTCATGCACATCTTGGCGTCCACCGCGGCGCTCACGTCTGCGATGTCGATCGCGGACTTGAACCAGCGGGATGAGCAGAGCGTTGACTCAAAGGCCGACGGCAACCTTGGTGCCCAGTCCAATGAGCCTAAGATTGACCCATCCGCTATTGGAAACAAGGTTGACGCTTCCAAGCCGGAAGACAATAAGGAAGATGTCAAGAAGGGTGATCAGAATCAGAAGTGGGGTGACAATGGCAACAATGGCAACCAGGGCGAGCACAAGGAAGAGCCCAAGAAGGAAGAGCCCAAGAAGGATGATCAGAATCAGAAGTGGGGTGACAATGGAAACCAGGGCGAGCACAAGGAGGAGCCCAAGTACGAGGAGCCCAAGAAGGAGGAGAACAAGTGGGATGACCACAAGGAGGAGCACAAGGAATACCCGCCGCCCGTCACTTACACTAAGGAGTACACCAAGGAGCACGAATACCCCGTCACCAAGGAGTACACCAAGGAGCACGAATACCCTGTCACCAAGGAGTACACCAAGGAGTACACCAAGAACCACGAATACCCCGTCACCAAGGAGTATACCAAGGAGTACACCAAGGAGCATGAGTACCCCGTCACTTACACCAAGGAGTACACCAAGGAGCACGAGTA